AAATCCAGCGTCCCTTTATGATTAAAACCCTCAGCAAAATCGGCATAGAAAGGTCACACCTTAAAGTAATAAAAGCCATTTATTACAAAACCCACAGCCAACATTATACTGAATAGGGAAAAGTTGAAAGCATTCCCCTGTGACCTGGAACAAGACAAGGATGTCCACTTTCACTACTTCTATTCAACATAGTACTGAAAGTTCTAGCCAGCACAATCAACAAGAGAAGGAAATAAAGGGTATCAAATTGATAAAGAGGAAGTCAAACTGTCACTGTTTGTGGATGACATAATGGTATATCTGGAAAACCCCAAAGACTCCACCAAAAAGCTCTTAGAACTGGTAAATGAATTCAGCAAAGTTTCAAGATACAAAATTAGTGTACACAAATTAGTAGCCCTTCTATACACCAACAGTGACCAAAGTGATAATCAAATCAAGAATCCAACCCCTTTCACAATAGCTGAAAAAATAAATAAAATAAAATGTTTAGGAATATACTTAACCAAGGAGGTGAAAGACCTCTACAAGGAAAATTATGAAACACTCCTGAAAGAAATCATAGATGACACAAACAAATGCGAACACATCCATGCTCATGGATGGGTAGAATCAATATTGTGAAAATAACCATACTGCCAAAAGCAATCTACAAATTCAATGCAATTCTCACTAAAATACCACCATCATTCTTCACAGAACTGGAAAAAAACCTAAAATTCATATGGAACCAAAAAAGAGTCTGCATAGCCAAAGCAAGACTAAGTAAAAATAATAAATTAGAGGCCTTACATTACCCAACTTCAAAATATACTATAAGGCCCTAGTCACCAAAACAGCATGGCACTGGTATAAAAACAGGCATATAGACCAATGGAACAGAACAGAGAACCCAGAAATAAAGCCAAATGATTACATTCCACTGATCTTCAACAAAGCAAACAAAAACATGAAGTGGAAAAGGACATTCTATTCAACAAATGGTACAGGATAACTGGCAAGCCACAGGTAGAAGAATAAAACTGGATCCCCATCTCTCACTTTTTACAAAAATCAACTCAAGATGGATCAAAGACTTAGATCTAACACCTGAAACCATAAAAATTCTAGAATACAACATTGGAAAAGCTCTTTTAAAATTGGCTTAGGCAGAGACTTCATGACCAAGAACCCAAAAACAAATGCAACAAAAACAAAGATAAACAGATGGAGCTTAATTAAACTAAAAAACTTCTGCACAGCAAAAGAAATAATCGGCAGACTAAACAGACAACTCACAAGATAGGGGGAAATCTTTGCTATCTATACATCTGAAAAAGGACTAATACCCGGAATCTACAAGGAACTCAAACAAATCAGCAAGAAAAAAAAATCCCATCAAAAAGTGGGCTAAGGACATGAAAAGACAATTCTCAAAAGAAGATATACAAATGGCCAAAAAACATATGGAAAAATGCTCAACATCACTAATGTTCAGGGAAATGCAAATCAAAACCACAATGTGATACCACCTTACTCCTGCAAGAATGGCCATAATCAAAACATCAAAAACTAATAAATGTTGACATGGATGTAGTGAAAAAGGAACACTTTTACACTGTTTGTGGGAAGGTAAACTTGTACAACCACTATGGAAAATAGTGTGGAGATTCCTTAAAGAACTAAAAATAGATCTACAATTTGATCCAGCAATCACACTCCTGGGTATCTACCCAGAGGAAAAGAAGTCATTATATGAAAAAGATACTTGCATATACATGTTTACAGCAGCACAATTTGAAATTGCAAAAATATAGAACCAGTCCAAATGCCCATCAATCAAAAAGTGGATAAAGAAAATACGATTAGATAGATAGATAGATAGATGATAGATAGATGATAGATAGATAGATAGATAGATAGATAGATAGATAGATAGATAGATAGATAATGTGTGTGTGCATGTGTGTGTGTGTATGTGTGTGTGTGTAATGGAATACTATTCAGGCATAAAAATGAATAAAATAATGGCATTTGCAACAACCTGGATGGAATTGGAGACCATTATTCTAAGTGAAGTGTCTCAGGAATGGAAAACCAAACATTATATGTTCTTGCACATAAGTGGGAGCTAAGCTATGAGGATGCAAAGCCATAAGAATGATACAATGAACTTTGGAGACTCAGGGGAAAGGGTGGGAGGGAGTGAGGAATAAAAGACTACAAATTGGTTACAATTACACTGCTCGGGTGATGGATGCACCAAAATCTCAGAAATCACCACTAAATAACCTATTCACATAACCAAACACCACCCGTTCCCCCAAAAACCTATTGAAAAAAAATGTAATAACAAAAAAAGACTACATATTTGGTACAGTGTACACTGCTTGGGTGATGGGTGCACTAAAATCTCAGAAATCACCTCTAAAGAACTTATCCACATAACCAAAAACCACCTGCCCAAAAACTATTGACAATGGCCAGGGACGGTGGCTCATGCCTGTAATCCCAGCACTTTGGGAGGCGAAGGCAGGCAGATAACTTGAGGTCAGGAGTTTGAGACCAGCCTGCCCATCACAGTGAAATTCCATCTCTGCTAAAAGTACAAAAATTAGCTGGGCATGGTGGTGTGCACCTGTAATCCCAGCTGCTCCGGAGGCTGAGGCAAGAGAATCGCTTGAAGCCAGAGACAGAGGTTGCAGGGAACCAAGATCATGCCACTGCATCCCAGCCTGGGTGACAGAGTGAGACTCCAGCTAAAAAATAAAAAAATTAAAAAAAAACTATTGACATTAAAAATAATACTAATAATAAAATGAAAATAAGAAAAAAATAACAGCAACACTTCTGTGTTCTACAAGGCCCTGGTATGGCCCTCCCCAGCCTCTCCACATCATCTATTACTCTTCACCAAGCTTCAGCCAAGCCAGTCACCCTGATGTCCCTCAAACACACCAAGTGTGGTTCTCCCTCAGTCCTCTATATGTGTTCCTTCTGCCAACATCCCAGCCCTCACAACTGTTTTCTCAGTTTGCAAATTTCATCTCAAATGTCACCTCTCCTCGGACAGCTTTCTCTAATCCCCCATACCCAGTTACCTTTCATTCTACAATCCTGTTTCCTTCATGGCAGCTTGATCTAAAATGAGATCATTTCTTTATTTGTTCTCTGAATACTATCATTCTCTCCTACTAGAATGCAAACTCTGGCAGGGCAGGTTCTTGTCCAACTTGTTTATATCTGTATCCCTGGCACCAGGTAATAAAGAAACATTCAGTAATCACTAGCCAAATGAATGAATGAGCAAATGAGCAAAAGAACAGGTATCAAATCCAATTCAAATAACTCCTTCCAAAAGAATTCCTGGATGACATTAGGTATCCTTTTCTGATGAACATTATGTTGCAATAATAATGACCAACAATTAAAGGAACATGTAGTGATCATCTACTGTTATCTACTTATTAAGAAATAGTTACTTAATTCTGAATACCTACCAAGCACTCTGTAAGTTACTGGACGTACAAAGATCAAGAAGAGAAACATGGTCTATGTTCTCAGTGTAGCTTTTTATTCAAAATGAAAAATGTTCCTGGTAGTACAGACTGCTAAAATTCAAAGTCAACCCTCAACAATTTCTATTTTAACCAAAACTGTACCTCTGACTGCATTATGAAATACACTAGACTTTTTATCAGATCAGATAGAAAGCACAACATTCAATTGCTTATTCTCATTTCTGCCAACTGTTCTAAAAGAGAAAAGGATATTAAAACATTTAAAACTGCAGATAGCAAGAGAGGAAAGAAAGAGACAAGAAAAGTTTTACTACCTGTCAAGGCATAAGCTACCCATAGTATTATCTGTAAGAGTTTTCCTAAAGAATCTCACATTGCTATCTTCAGCAATATCTACCAAGAAGTACAGAAAGTCCAATGCAAAATAGTTTCTTATCTCATAGTGACATGGTTTGGATCTGTGTCCCTACCAAATCTCAAGTTGAATTGTAATCTCTGGGGCCTGGAGGTGACCAGATCATGGGGGTGGAATTCTCATGAATGGTTTAGCACCATACCCTTGGTACTGTTCTCCAATAAATAAATAAATGATAAAACACCCCCCTTTTGTGTTGTTGTAATAGTGAAAGAGTGAGTTCTCATCAGATCTGATAGTTTTAAAGTGTGTAGCACCTGCCAGGTGTGGTGGCTTACACCTGTAATCCCAGCACTTTGGGACGTGGGCAGATCACAAGGTCAGGAAATCAAGACCATCCTGGCCAACATGGTGAAACCCATCTCTACTAAAATACAAAAAAAAAAAAAAAAAAAATTAGCCGGGTGCCGTGGCACATTGCCTGTAGTCCCAGCTACTTGGGAGGATGAGGCAAGGGAATCGCTTGAACCTGGGAGGCAGAGGTTGCAGTGAGCCAAGATCGCACCACTGCACTCCAGCCTGGCAGCAGAGTGAGACTCCATCAAAAAAAAACAAAAAAACAAAAACAAAAAAAAGTGTGTAGCACCTACCCCCTCTCTCTCTTGTTCCTGCTCCACCATGTAAGATAATTAGCTCCCTGTATGCCTTTCACCATGATTGCAAGTTTCCTGAGGCCTCCCCAGAAGCTGAGCAGATGCCTCCATGCTTCCTGTACAGTCTGTAGAACCATGGGATAGTTAAAATACTTCTTTATAAATTACCCAGTCTCAAGTATTTCTTTATGGCAGTGCAAGAACAAACTAATACACATAGTTTAGATATGTTAAATCATGAATGGCAGAAATAACTCCATAAAACAAAATCATCAACAATCTGTCCCTAGTATACGGGCCTATCCTATTCCAAGAACCCAACTTCATAAAATAATCCCACTATCTTATCAGTCTGGCACATAAGAGTTTAGAAGATAGAGTCCAGGGCTCTGAAGTCATCAGATCCAGGTTCAATCAGAATGGTAACGTGTACAAATATATGCACATATATATACCATATAAAATTCTATTTCAAGGTTTTTAATTACTTACCACTTTGCCCAACTTTCTCTCATAGGCTTTATGCCGTAGTCCTAACCCCAACAATCCCACACCAACAAGCAGCCACAGAACTAAACAGAAAAAAGAAATGATTATTTTTAAATGAATAAAATAAAATAAAATAAATTTGCTGACACTGACCTTCAGTGCCTCATCTCCAGTGCTGTGGTGCCCTCCAAGAAGTTCTTCATGATGGGGGAACTGGAAGATGAATGGGCGGAAGAAGAGTCTTGGGTAGCTCACTGGCACTGAATGTGACCAAGGTGCCAGTTGACACCGAGGTGGTTTGCTCTTCCCTCCACTGCCTATATCAACTTCACCCAGCAGAAGCTAGATCCCAAGATTGCTGTGCCTGTGCAGAACTGCTACAAAGTGACTAATGGGGCCTTTACTGGGGAGATCAGCCCTGGCAAAATCAAAGACTGCAGAGCCAGATGGGTGGTCCTGGGGCACTCAGAGAGAAGGCATGTCTTTGGGGAGTCAGATGAACAGATTGGGCAGAAAGTGGCCCATGCTCTGGCAGAGTTACTTGGAGTAATCGCCTGCATTGGGAAGAAGCTAGATGCAAGGGAAGCTGGCATCACCAAGAAGGTTGTTTTCGAGCAGACAAAGGTCATCGCAGATAAGGTGAAGGACTGGAGCAAGGTCATCCTGGCTTATGAGCCTGTGTGGGACATTGGTACTGGCAAAACTGCAACACCCCAAAAGGCCCAGGAAGTACAAAAGAAGCTCCAAGGATGTCTTAAATCCAACATCTCTGATGTGGTTCAGAGCACCCGTATCACTTATGGAGGCTCTGTGACCAGGGTAACTTGCAAGGAGCTGGCTAGCCAGCCTGACATGGATGGCTTCCTCCTGGGTGGTGCTTCCCTCAAGCCTGAATTCGTGGATATCAATGCCAAACAATGAGCCCCACCCATTTTCCATACCCTTCCTGCCAAATCAGGGACTAAGCAGCCCAGAAGCCGAGTCATTGCCCCTCCCCTGCACAAGCTTCTGATGGTGTCATCTACCCTCTTTTGTGGCCTCATCCAAACTATACCTTCCTTTACTGTTTATACCTTCACCCTGTAATGGTTGGGACCAGGACAATCCCTTCTTCACTTACTATAATGGTTGGAACTAAATGTCACCAAGATGGCTTCTCCTTAGCTGAGAGGTGGAAGGGGTGGAATTTGCTCCTGGGTCCCCTAGGCCCTAGTGAGGGCAGGAGATAAAACATCCTCTCCTTTCTTACACTGTGAGGCCAAGATCCTCCCCTCAGAAGCCAGGAATGCTGCCCTATTCCATGGTGCCCACTCCTGTGTGGGTTCTGTATGTGAACCACTCACATGGGAGGGAATAAACACATGGCACTAGGAAAAAATAAAAATACCTAAATCTGTTTTAAAATAACAAGGTTTATAAAATCATTGAATTTATTGGCCGATGATTTTGTGCAAAGGGAAAATGTGTAGTTTTGGGTTAAATTTCATGTGTGACATGTATACATCGACAACTCTTTAAACTCAGGTTTCAAGAATTTTCCCTAAAAATGTTCCAAGGACTATGAGCTTAAAGTAAAAATAAGTCATAAAACATACAAGAAAACAAGTTTCCATGAGCAGGAAACAAAGGAAAAAAACACTCTGCAGAATCAAGCCCACAAAGACAGATGTTGGGACTTTCTGAATCAGAATATAAAACAAGTATGCTTATTATATTTACAAAAATAAAGGAGGGTATTCAAAAGTATGACTAGGGAACATGAGGCTAAAATAAACAATCAGAAAATTTTTAAAAGAAATCAAATAGAGTTCTAGAAATAAAAAGATAATTATAATAATTGAAATTAGAAATTCAAAGACAATTGAATTAGACAAGCTGAATAGAGAATTAGTTCAAGGGGCAGCCCAAAACATAGAGGTAAAAAATATGAAAGGGGGGGCACGCCCAAGATGGCCAAATAGTAACAGCTCCTGCCTCCAGCTCCCAGTGTGAGCAACACAGAAGACGGGTGATTTCTGCATTTTCAACTGAGGTACCAGGTTCATCTCACTGGGGCATGTCGGACAGTTGGCGCTGGTCCACAGATGCAGCCCGACCAGTGAGAGCTGAAGCAGGGTGAGGCATCACCTCACCTGGGAAGTGCAAGGGGGAAGCGAATTCCTTTTCCTAGCCAAAGGAAATTGAGACACACAACACCTGGAAAATCGGGTAACTCCCACCCTAATACTGTGCTTTACCAAGGGTCTTAGCAAATGGCACACCAGGAGATTACATCCCACACCTGGCCCAGAGGGTCCCACCTCACAGAGCCTCCCTCATTGCTAGCACAGCAGTCTGAGATCTAACTGCAAGATGGCAGTGAGACTGGGGGAGGGGCGCCCACTATTGCTGAGGCTTAAGTAGGTAAACAAAGCCACCAGGAAGCTCCAATTGGGTGGAGCACACCACAGCTCAAGGAGGCCAGCCCGCCTCTGTAGACTCCTCCTCTGGGGATAGGGCATAGCTAAACAAAAAGCAGCAGAAACCTTAGCAGAGGTAAATGCCCCTGTCTGACAGCTTTGAAGAAAGCAGTGGATCTCCCAGCACAGAGGTTGAGATCTGAGAACAGACAGACTGCCTGCTCAAGGGGGTCCCTGGACCCTGAGTAGCCTAACTGGGAGACATCCCCCACTAGGTGCAGATTGACACCTCACACCTCACACGGTGGGGTTCACCCCTGAGACGAAGCTTCCCGAGCAAAAATCAGACAGCAACACTCACTGTTCAGCAATATTCTATTTTCTGCAGCCTCCACTGCTGATACCCAGGCAAACAGGGTCTGGACTGGACCTCAAGCGAACTCCAACAGACATACAGCTGAGGGTCCTGACTGTTAGAAGGAAAACTAACAAACAGAAAGGACACCCACACCAAAACCCCATCAGTATGTCACCATGATCAAAGACCAAAGGCAGATAAAACCACAAAGATGGGGAAAAAGCAGTGCAGAAAAGCTGGAAATTCAAAAAATCAAAGCACATCTCCCCCTCCAAAGGAACACAGCTCATCACCAGCAACGGAACAAAGCTGGATGGAGAATGACTTTGACGAGTTGAGAGAAGAAGGCTTCACTCAATCAAACTTCTCAGAGCTAAAGGAGGAATGATGTAACCAGATGTAACCAGAAACTAAAAACCTTGAAAAAGGAATGGATGAATGGATAACTAGAATAATCAATGCAAAGAAGACCTTAAAAGAACTGATAGAGGTGAAAACCATAACACGAGAACTACGTGACAAATGCACAAACTTCACTAACCAACTCGATCAACTGGAAGAAAGAGTATTGGTGGTTGAAGACCAAATGAATGAAATGAAGCGAGAGGAGAAGTGTAGAGAAAAAAGAGTAAAAAGAAATGAACAAATTCTCCAAGAAATATGGGATTATGTGAAAAGACCAAATCTACATCTGATTGGTATGCCTGAAAGTGACAGGGAAAATGGAACCAAGTTGGAAAACACTCTGCAGGATATCATCCAGGAGAACTTCCCCAACCTAGTAAGGCAGGCCAACATTCAAATTCAAGAAATACAGAGAATGCCACAAAGATACTCCTTGAGAAGAGCAACTCCAAGACACATAA